TACCAGTTCTACATTAAAGGCATTCTCTGGCAGGAGGGGCCTTTGCATCAGATCTACGTCCGACTCGTAGGCCAGCGAGATGGTACCACAGTGGGACTGGGAGGGATCCAGGGCTCAGCTCCTCCTTTCCCCTCCCCAAAGCCATCTGCCCCTCCCCCCTTCCTATTCCAAGTACCTCACTTGCTGGCCACCAAGCCAGGCTCCACCTGAGTCCCACCCTGATCCTAACAATCAATGGATGAGCCCTGAACAAGGGAATGGCCACCATCATTGGGGGAAGCTTACTTGTGGTCCCTCTCCCCCTCATGGTTTCAACCATGGTTGAAAGTTACTCCCGCAATCATGTAGCTGCCACGTCCCCAGTCAGTGTAGGAGATGACGGAAGGAAGTTCAACACATCTGAAGGCATAACTCAGGGAAGATGGACTTCAGTCAAAGGCAGGATGACAAAACATTTGCCTGGAAGGGGATGAATTAATCTGTTGAAATTCCTAGAGCACCATCTGGAGTTGTCCTCTTCCTTTTCTAGCTTATGGAAAACTTTTCTACAGCCTCATTATTAATGGGTATCGCCTGGAGGTCCTCACCCTGGTCCATTTGACCAGCAACTATGAGGTGAGAGCTGGGAACAAAGAAGTAGGCCCAGAGGCTGTGCCTGCCCCCTTGCACCTCAAAGCAAAAGAGCCGTAGGGCAGGCAAGAGGACCAAGGCAGGTTTCACTTGGAGTCTCACTTCCCCTGGCCCCCAGATGGCTGGGAGTCCAGCTTCTCCTCAAGTCTGGGGCATTTGGCAAACTGACCGGGTCCCTTCCCTGAAGGTTGTAGGAAGCTTGGCCCTATTCTGGGCTGTGATAATGCGCTAAGCCAGCCTTCCTCCACCTGCCTCTTTCCTAACATATTGGACCTCAATTCCCATGTTCCACAGTCAGCAGGGCTTGGGCAGGTTCCTTGTTGGATGTGAGTGACAGGGATTATACTCAGGAGGGGGTCAAGCTGGGGAAAGCAGACTGCCAAGCCTGTTCCCCCCTCCCCTTGCAACATTTTTCTGGCCCCCTCCTCCTGAGATTCCCCCCCCCCCGTCTGCCGGTTCTTTGCTCCAGATGCAAAAGGACCTTCCCTGCAGCCCCCTGGGAGAACGTGGCTTATCATCCCTGGACCACCTTGGCCAAGACAATTCCAAGCGCAGAGGCAGGGACGCTAATTTAACCGCCAGCTCTCCACGGTGGTTCTGTGCCTCAGCCCAGATACAAAGATACCACCCTTTCCTGCGGAGCCCTTTCTGGCCCAGCTGAGGAAGTGCTCCCCCTTTGGTGGGGCCCAGAAGGGCTACTGGAGGAGGACAGCCCGTTCCCCCCACGGTTGCGCTTGCCCGTGGCGTTCCTTGGCGCCCTGCCTCCCCAATCCCCATCGGGTCTCGGCTGCATTGCATCTGGCCCCACCTTTCCCAAGAGACGGTAGTCCAGGACGGCCCAAGCAGGCTGCGGTGGGACGCACTAGAGGGACCAGCCCTGCCCATCCTTGCTGGCCTCGGGAGCGGCGACCCCCCCCCCCGCACCCAAAATCTCAGTACCCCCCCTTCTGGGAGATGGCCCTGCTGCTCAGGCACACGTTTCCTGTGATTTCTGCGGCTGCTTGGAGCTTGAAATAACATACATCAAGTTAACCAAGGAACACCCTTGCAGTCAGTATTTGAAGGCAGCTGACATAATAAGCTCCAAAGGGGGGGGGGGGGGGGGCTGGTGGAGAGGCTAAAGGTGTCCGGCTCTTTCGTCTTTCTGGGTGGGACTTGGTTTCTGGGCCTCTGTTTCTCGCTGCTCCCTCCGAACCGACGCACGCGCTCGGCTGTTAGTGAGACAGGCCAGAAGCTTCCCAGGTGGAGGGAGTTCCCAGTCGCCAGCAGGGGGGCCGGAGGAGGGGTTTCTGAGGTTTCCAGAAGTCCTGCTGGCCACAGCTGTTCTGGTGCTCTTCGCAAACCGCTGTCCTATGCACGTGGCTTGCGGTAACAAGGCTTGTGCTGAAATACTCTTCCTGAGCCGGTGCTCTTCGTCCTCTTCGTGGAAACGGGCAGAAGACCTGTTTCATCTCGTTTTGGATTCTGCCTTTCCAAGAACAGCGACAAGGAAGAGACACCATTTTAAAAGGAAAAAGATGCATCTTGCCACGCTCGCTGAAGGCACAGAGGGGGGCCAGGCGCAGCTCTAAAGGAACGGTGGAGTTATGCTGGCTGGGGATCATTGAAGCTGTAGTCCAAGCATCCCAGGCAGCACTGGGCTGGGAAAGGGCCAGACCAACCCAAATGGCCCGCCTGTCTGCCTGCCTCCTGGGATCGGTGCGCCTCCCCCCAGCCAGCCAAGAAAACCAGGCCAGACCAGCCCCACTGAGTGAGGAATAAAGGAGGGAGGGGATCCAGAGAGAAAAGGGCCGGAGCAAGACCCTCCGTTTTTGGCCTGGCTTCTACTCTGTCCCCACTTCTTTCTCTCCCCCCAAACAGCTGATCGATACCCTCGGGCGCCGCATCGCACGCCACCTGAATCTCAACTACTTTGACTATGAGGACATCTCTGTCCGCCATGTCATCCGCCACCTTCCCCCTGAGGAGGAGTATGATGATGAAGATGAGGACACCATGAGTGTGTAACATTTAAGGATGCTGGGTGATTAAAAATGGGCGAGAATACGTGTCCTGGCCTTCTTGTTGAGATGCGTCCCCTCTCGCTACCAGCATCACGAAGGGCCCAGCTTCCGGCCTCCATCTCCAGACTGGCTCTGGGGCCCCACCAGCACCCACTGCCTCTCTTGACTTCAAGGCAGTCCGTGCAGATGAAGGTCTCTGCTGGAAGGAGCCCCAGGAGCAGGAAGGGCCTGGGTGCTCTCTGCTGCTCCCAGGCGGCGGCGGCGGCATGGTCAGAACGGTAGGACGGTGCGACCGATGCTCCGCCCGATTCCATCTCGGGTTCCATCCAGACAGGCTGACAGGGCCCAGAAAGGCCAAGGGCGGGAAGTGCCAGGAAAAGCCGTGCCAGGTCTGCCAACGGAGCTGTCCTCAGAAGGTGGCAGAACCAGCTCAGGATCGGGCACCGGACGCATCCAGCTTCACGCAACGCTATTTTTCTTCTCTCCTGTTGGTCCCACCACCGGCCACAGCCTGCAGGGTTGGCCAGGAGACCCCGGGAAGCCTCCCACCGGCCCGCCGCCAGGGCGCGCGCCGCGGCCCGCCGGG